GTTTCACCAGACCGGTTAGCTTGAGGTAGTCGCAGTCTGGGGACCACTTGTAATGTGCCGCCCAAGGATCGTCGTGGGACGCCCATTGTCTCAGCCGCACACCACATTGGAAACAGCACACGCCATCGGCACCCTGAGTGTAGACAAAGCCCGCATGGGCCATCTCTTCAGCAGTCTGATACATTTGCGTTGGCCACGCCTCAAACGAAGCGAGCCTTCTTTCAAAGCGTAGATAATAGTGCGATGGCGTGTGACTGAGCAGTGACAGCGCATCCTCAGCATCCGTACTCTTACTCCAACATCCACAAGTATCTGCATTATCCATCACCACATCTCCGTCACGAGTCGTCGTACCACTCTTCTTTGTTTCAAGCATTCTTGATTTTATAAAATAAATTTTACAAGTGACACTGATCCACTCGAATCCACTCTTGTTTTATAGGAGAAGAACCGGATAGAAAATCGCCGCTTCCTGGTTGGTCCAAAACGCAATGCACTGATTGGTTTGTTCCGGTGCCTGGCCTGCACCTCGGTTTTCTAAAACGACTCGACACTTGTGTTTCTTTTCCATAGGAAATGGATTTTACCATGGGAGAGAAAGCACAACTCGGCTCAGGTGCTGTCTTCTGATTGGTCGGTGCTGTCTTCTGATTGGTCGACAACCCAGGCTTCGGATTGGTCCGATTTCGATCCTGTTTTGAGGAAGGGTTGTCCATAAATCAGACGTTCAGTCCATCTTAGAGTACAGACGTTCATCAGACACGCATCGCTATCATGACGAGCAACCAGAGTACGCCCTATCGTTTTGAGAGGAAAGACACCATACGCTCCAGACGGTTAAGAACTGCTATTCATACCTATCGTTTGACTTCAATCCAGACTACTTGGACACTATACCACCGGACCGCGTTCCCATGGAACTGCCGGCTTTATTTGACAGAGTGATCGATGACTTTTATCAACAGATGTCAGGACATGTCTAGGTATCGATCATCCCGCTTTAGACACTCCCATACGGATTCCCTTTCGTCGCTTTGAAGATCTCCATGGGCTAAATATTTTGCATGGCGTGTAAAAAGTCCAACAGTCCAACAAAGACCTGAACATCGATGCCACCATGGTTGTGACTTAAGAACACGTAGCAGATCCCGACAGGCGAGGATCGGGCAGTGGTGCTCCCCGGCTGAAAAACGTGATTGGACTCGAAGCTTTTTTAACACGCAAAAGGTGCATTGTACGGATCAAGAACGAAGTTCAATCCTGTTTGGCACGGGCCCTGGTGGTGGCACAGCATTATGCCCAGAAGCCCCACCCTCTGACCCAAGAATGGAAAACCCAGCGAGTGAGACTGACGAGAACGGATCGCGTTGACGTTCAAGGCATACCGGCACGGGGCTTGTTTCGACGCCTTGGCCTGCCTGAAGGTCCCTGTCAGGGCCTGGATGACCTCGCACGTGTGGGACGGGCCTTGGCCCACCTGAATTATCATCTGAAAGTCTACAGTCAAGAGGTGGACCAGAGACTGTTGTACAAGTGTGATGAGGCTCCACCCCACGCCACTGTGCTACATTTATATCATCATGATCAGCACTACGATGTCAACACTTCCATGTCACCTTTTTATGGCTCTAACCATTACTGCGAACACTGCAACAAACGTTACGACCATCCCGAAAAACACCCCTGCACCAAACAATACCACTCTAGCTATTGCGGACCCAAGGAAGAGCACGGGATCCCTTGCTTGACATGTCAACGTTGGTTCCCAAACCAACAGTGTTATACCCGACATCTCCAGTCACCGTCAGAGGGAAAACCCAGCGCATGTCAATCGATTCACAGGTGCCCGACCTGTTTTCAGTTGGTCCGCATCTTAGAGACTCCCATGGTTCATCACGAGTGCTCAGATGAAGAACATCCCTGCTTGGTGTGCCGAGAACCCATGACCCCAGACCATCGCTACATGACACCTCTCCGTGAAGAAAACGAGGATGAGGAAGAGGAAGAGGAAGAAGGGGAAGAGGGGGAAGAGGAACAACATCACCTACGAGACAATCTCCAATACGTCTTCTACGATTTTGAATGCATGCAAGACACGGGGGAACACATTCCAAATTTGTGCATGGTGCAGTTCGGATGTGGACGGTGCATCTGTGAATTGAGCAAGGACTTGTGCGAACACTGTCCATGGAGAGAAGAAGGGTATGGTCCCAGCCGTGAGATCGTGTTTCGAGGCCCCACCACGCGACATGATGTTTGTGTGTGGTTGACCACGCTGGCTGAAACACCCAAGAAGAAGAAGAAGAAGAACCAAGAGGAAGAGGAGGGCAGCACACCAAAGGGCACAACAGCACGCCTTGGGAAAAGAAAATGGGATGGAACCCCCTCAAGAAACCATGCTCCAAAAGGTCAACGACATTCATCACCCCAGCAGGAGGAAGAGGAAGAGGTGGAGGGGGAAGATGTCATGGAAGTGGAGAAAACAAAGAAGCCAAAGAACAAGAACACCAACACCAATACAGTCCAGGAGGAGGATCGCATTTATGTGATGGCCCATAATGCACGATCCTATGATTTACACTTGATCCTAAAGGGTCTGTCCCCGCTCCTGGTGAAACTCCCCACCAAGATTCGAAATGGTCAACAAATTTTGCAGGTGACCCTCGGACGGTTGTGTTTCGAAGACAGCTTAAATTTCATACCTTACCCCCGGAAAGCCTTTCCCAAGAGCTTTGGGCTGAAAGAACTGAAGAAGGGTATTTTCCGCACTTTTTCAATACCGAAGCCAACGAGACCTACAGAGGTCCCTATCCACCAGCCGTCATGTACGATCCCGATGGCATGTCTCCCGCGGAACGCACAGTCTTCCTCCAGTGGCATGCCCAAAAAGTGCAAGAAGGAACCTTGTTTGACTTACAAGGAGAACTCTTAGCCTACTGTCAGAGCGATGTGGACATTTTGAGAGGAGGATGCGCTGAGACTCTTGAGTCAACACCCTGAGGTGAAACGGATCGTCACCCTGTGGGAGCACGAGTTTATGAAAATGCAACAGGGGGACTCTGCTCTGCGTGCTTTCTTGCAGGGGTCCCACTGTATCCACGTCCCTGGGCCACTCAACACTCGCGACGCACCTATGGAGGACGCACCAATGCCACGCGATTATGCTACGAAGCCCAAGAAGGTGAAACCATCAAATACATCGATATTTGTTCCCTTTATCCATTCATTTGTAAGACCAGAGCATTTCCCACGGGACACCCGACCCTTCTCCATCAACCCCCTGTGGACACGTTGTTTGACCTGAAAGGCCTGATCCAATGCCGTGTCCTACCCCCAAAACGACTCTACCATCCGCTACTGCCTTACAGATCGGGTGGCAAACTGCTCTGTCCTTTGTGCCGTACGTGTGCCGATACCCGGTCAGACTCCCCCTGCAAGCACACGGACGAAGAGAGGTCATGGGTGGGTACGTACGCCACCGTAGAACTCCAGGAAGCCGTGAAGAAGTATAACTATCAGGTGCTTCAGATCTATGACGTTTGGCATTTTGACACCTTTGCACAGCATGACCCCGACACCCAGCAAGTAGGACTCTTTGATACTTATATCGATCGACATTTTAAGGAGAAGCTCGAATCCAGCGGATACCCCGAAGATGTACGGATCACGACGCTTACATCCAGGAGATCTACGACAAAGAAGGCATTGGGTTGGACAAGGACCGCATCCAAAAAAATCCCGGACGTCGCACGATTGCCAAGATGCAACTGAATTCGCTCTAGGGCAAGTTTGGACAACGGGTAGACTGCAGTCAGAACATCTATAAGAACGATCCTGTACAGTACTTTGCCTTGTGGAGGAATGAACGCAATACCATCGAGGATGTTACCGTTGTCAACGAACACATGGTGGAAGTGACCTATACCCAGCAGAAAGAACTCCATTCTCATTTCAATGTCGCCATCGCTGCTTGGGTCACCGCCCAAGCACGTCTCAAGCTGTACGAGACCCTTGCCCTGGTTGGCCGCAGGGTCTTGTACTTTGACACGGACAGCGTCATTTACATTTATCGACCCCACGACGCGAATCCAGAGCTGGGCCATTCGTTGGGTGAGTTTACAGATGAACTGGACGGAAACACCATCAAGACCTTTGTGTCAGGAGGCCCCAAAAACTATGGCTATGAGTTAATGAACCCCAGATCCGATGGAACGTGCACGACCTGCAAAGTGCGAGGGTTCACTTTGAATTACCGAAACCAACAACATCTCCACTTTGACACCATGAAAGGACTGATACTGGGACAACGGCCTGGGAAAGAAGGGGGGAAAATCAGTTTGGATTACCCTCATCAGATCATTCGTAAAGGACCTCGGCACGAAAACGCTCTTGTGACCCGACCCACTCGAAAAGACTATCTTACCATGTACGACAAGCAACGTCTCGTCTACGATGAAACCACAGGGCTGCCTGTAGACACGCTGCCCTTTGGGTACAGAGACGACTTTCTATTATTTTTTCATGACAGCAGATCGAAACTGAATCGACATTGACCCCTACAGAAAAAACGGATCGAAATCGGACCAATCAGAAGCCTGGGTTGTCGACCAATCAGAGGCCGCTCGGGCCATGGTGGGCTCTGATTGGTCGAACCGAGGTTGTGCTTTCTCTCTCACGCTACAAGCCTAACCCTATGGAAAAGAAACACAAGGGTCGGTCCAGTTTGGAAAAATTGAGACTCAGACCACACACCGGAACGGGCCAATCAGAAACCAGGACCTCCGTGGCTTTTAATACGACCAACACTCTCCGGTCATCACTTTTCACTGAACGGACCAAGCAACAACATCGTCCCTCTGATTGATGATCCTCACGTTGTGTTGGTTGTTGGCGTTTTATCTGGAAGAAACACGTGTTTGGAGAGAGTACCATCAAGTGTTGACACACATCCGTGAAGACTTGGAAAGAAAAAACAACGAACAGAAAATCCAGACAACATCATGTCGAAACGGTTGAATGCCAAGACACGGAGCGACATGGGTGGTAAAAGAAGCAGGGGAGATGAGAACGTTGACATGACTGCTGAACTGTGGGGTGAAGTGTACGACATGTTGTGTGGCAAGATAAAGGCCGACGACGTGTACGCCAAGATACGTTCAAAGATGAGGAAGCTGACTGAACCCAAGAAAGTAGCACCGAAGAAGACGATAAAGAAGATCCAGAAGAAAAAACCCAGCAAACCAGCAGCAGCAGCAGCATCCACCACCACCACCACAGCAGCTGTTGTCACCACAGCAGCAGCAACACCCACCACCACCACCACCCTCACAACAGCACCAGTCACCACCACTACAGCAGCAACAACAGCAGCGGCAACAGACACCGAAACGACATCCTTTTTGAAACCTGCAACACCTGCAACATCTGCAAAAAGACGATCACGGAAGAAATTATCTCTGAAGATCTCTCCTCAAGAACAGCTGTAAGTACCATGCTCTTCTTTGTCTCAGTCATTCTTGATGTGACGATGATGTTGATGTTGATGCCGATGTTGATGATGAATATGCCTATTCATATGATTGACTCTGTCCTATGATTGACAGGACCCCTGATGTCAGTTCAGCCCAGTCGGTGCTAGAACAGTGGTGGGAACAAACCCCTCGGGAGCCTACCTATTCACCGAATGCACCTGTGACGATGATGACGGGTGACAGTGATGATCATGAAGCGCTCAAGCTGGCAACTCTCCCTTCCATGGAATCTGGACACCCACCCCCTGCTTGATGCTTCTTGGTCACCAGCATCACCGGAAGATGTTCATGTCTTCTCCTCAGGTTTGCCCATGGTTTGCGACGATGACAACGTTGACCAGGATCCTTATGGAGAAGCTCAACTCACTCCCCTACAACGTGAATGTAGTGTTTGCCGACACAACAACATGTTAAGATACATCAGCTGCAACAGCGGGCAAGTGATGTGTCATGTCTGTTGTCTGGAGGCCATAGACTGTACTTGTTTTACTGATGGACCTCTCGCATGTTCGGGACCTGTTTGGGACAGTATGATGGAGGGTCACATCTTATGGTGATCCTCATCTTCACTCGAAGAGCTTTACAACACGTAAGCTGCAACAGTGGTCAAGTGATGTGTCATGTCTGTTTCAGGGAAGCCATAGACTGTACTGATGGGCCTCTCACATGTTTGATGGAGGACCACATCTTATGGGATTGAAGATAGAAGAGCTTGAAGATGAAAGAGGAAAACGTTGTCGCGTTATTGTTGTTGTAGGAACATGCAAAGCACTCCCTCCTCCATTGTCTTTTCGTATTTCCAATGTATCTGGTTGTGATTGTTCATTATTAAACAGTGATTGATTGAACTGACTCTTTGTGTCTTGATTGATCTCAACTCCAATAGAGTGCCAAACCAAGGGTAGAGGTTGAGTTGAGATGTCGTCTACGTTGTCTGTCTGTCTGTCTGTCTGTGCACACCAAAGTGTAAAAGAGAACGATAAAAGAGAAAGGCCATGCTTGAAAGATCAGCTGCCTGGTGTCAGTCATTCCAGTACACATCACCACTACCACCGGATGACGTCACGTGATGAGGTGGAAGAGGTGGAAGCTAAGGTCATGACCTTCCGTTGAAGGGGGTAGGGTGGAGAGTTTCATAAAAGCAGGCGAACCCTCAGACCTTCTTTCAGTGAAGTCACAGTCATCATGGAGCAAAGACGGTCTATGAATGCCATGTCATCCTCCCGAGATGTCGTCCCCGATTCCGAGTGGGTGTCTGAAAAGGTGGGAGAACAAGAAGCGAGAAAACGTCCACTCTTTATGGACGACACAATCTTGATGGATGACACATGGCGACTCAGTGACATTCTGGAGAGACCTTTTCCATGACATGGCCATGGCTGTCTATTTCTATCCAGGACGAGGTGACTGTGTTACCTGTTATTGCTGCGGTGTGGCACTCCGCCAGTGGGAAGCCACAGACCAACCCTGGAAAGAACATCTGAAGCACGCCAAAGTCCCCTGCGAATACTTGTGTGTGTTTTGTCCTGATGGAGAAGTGAACGAAAAATGCAGACGTTTGGTGTCCCAAGAAGCACGGAAGAGAAGAGTCGAGTGTCTTGTTCACCCCAAGTGACAAAGTTTCTTTTTTTTCAAAGTGTACAGACGTTCATACCCTCGTGGTCACCCCCGTGGTCACCCCTCGTGTTCACAAAAATCACAGGGATGTCCCCCCTCATCCTGTGACTTTTGTTTTGTTGTGTTAGTTCATGTGATCAGGGGGATTAAAAAAAGTTGAACCCATAGTAGTGTTATGTTGTGTGTAGGATGAAAAAACAAACAAACAGGATCGAAATGCACACCCCGATAAAAAACGGATCGAAATCGGACCAATCCGAAGCCTGGGTTGTCGACCAATCAGAGACCTCGTCTAGAGAAAAGAAAACAGAAGCCCCTCAAGAAAACACGCTTCAAAGCGCCGACGACACCTTCAGTCCGAGGATGAGATGGAAGTAGAGGATGAAGAAGATAGATCATCTGAACAAAGTGACTAACGCATGGGCCATGCTGCTCCACTGTTTTTACCCGTTTCCCATCGATTGCAGTTTTTCCAGTGTTCCAGTGTTCCAGTGTTCCTGCCGTTTCCTGTCATTTCCAGTTTCCAGTTTGTTTTCCAACGGCCTTTTTCAGGGCCACCCATCTCTCTCGAAAGAACGCTTTCATCCTTTGCTTTGACGACCCTCAAACCCCCACACCGTGAACCCGCATCCTTCTTCCTTCGCTTCCTCCCTCCCTTCACCACCACCCTCCCTTCACCACCACTACCACCACCACCACCACCAGTCTATGTTTAGAACACGACAACAACATCAAAACTCTTTTCTTGTTCACCTTTTACGACAGCTCCCTGGGGTTTTTTCCCCTTCCCTCCCTCCTCCTCCTCACCCGGAAAACGGAGGCAACGTCCTCTTGGAGGTGCACGCACCACCGGACACGGAGGCGACGCCCTCTTGGAGGTGCGCGCGACACCGGACACGGAGGCGACGCCCACTTGGAGGCGCACGCCACCGGAAACGGAGGCGCAGCCCTCTTGGAGGTGTGCACGCCACCGGAAACGGATGCGACGCCCTCTTGGAGGCGCACGCCACCGGAAACGGATGGGACGCCCTCTTGGAGGCGCGCGCCACCGGAAACGGATGTGCCGCCATCTTGGTACTGTAATCCTGAGCGGTACTGTAATCCTGAGCGGTACTACGCTGATGTAGACAACTACTTACACTGATGGATCCAAGAATCCTATCAACAACAGTACTGGTTACGGGATCTATATCCACAGCTACAAACCCCAAGCACATTCGGTCAGCATGCCTGATGGTCAGTCAGTAATCACTGTTGAAATTCAACATACCGGCAATTCATACCGGAACTACAGGTAGACAAAGCAGAGATACAGCCTATTCCCTTTAGTATAGAAGAGATAAAGTGCAAAATCAAAATCAATGCCTCCAAAGCCCAAAGATGGCAGGCCCAGTGGGACGCTAGTAGGATCGTCAAAATTCAACCCAAGATCCACCAAGAGCCAAACTCACACTCCAAAGAAAGGAAAGCTGAAATTGCCGTCTCGCGCTTCAGACTCGGTCACAAAAAGCACGATGTCCATCAGGCTTAATCCATTGCTCACTTGTAACTGAAATGTTAAGACCAAGTCCCATCCGGTGCTCGGTCAAAACAAGAATTGCCTTTAGTTCCTCTATCTGTCGTAGATCACCCAAAGCCGAGAGATGCAAAAGGGAAGGCCAAACTAACTCTATTTTTGAGAGATGGACAGCTGCTCGAACGTATATAAACAGAGCAGCCAACGACAAAAATGAAATTATATCAACATACGAAAAGAGAAATCATATCAATACAAAAACAGAAATTATGTTAAATCTGAATTCACAATAGATATGTGTAGTTACTCAAATACATGACTCCCCAAAGAGGGACAGGTCAGTCGAAATTGCTAAGGCAGAAGGGGACCTCTTAAACGCTTAAAGCAGCAACAATAACAACAACAATAAAACCTTGACAGCAAGAGAGGAGGATACTTAACACAAACCCAGCACTTCATGAGAGGACAGTTTACAAGAAGAAATTACGACAGGAGAGGAGATCGGTTCAGACAACACATTGACTTTAGTATAGGTAAAAGTAAGGAGTAATAGATCATGTCTTAAAGAGAGAAGAATGGATAACAAAACACAAGGCATTCGGGGGAGGAGAACAATCAACACAATATACCTGGCGGTATGAGGAGGGGAAACGGTAAAGGAGATTTGTTAACACTGCAGCAGGTCGTCCTGGAGGAGAATAGTTAACACGACACATGAGAAAGTATAGTTAACATAAAACCTTGACCAAAAGAGACGAGAATACTTAAGACAACACTATGACTTCATTAGAGTGAGAGACCCGTGAAGATCCGGGGAAGAATTTGTCTTCCGGTAAATGGCTACTATGCTTGTCGTAAAAGGCGACTGGCGGGATCGGGTGGTCAGGCTCGCTGACTTGGTTGATGAGAGGAGAATAGTTAACATAACGTGTTGACTCGAGGAGATGTGATATAAGGTGAGGTGAGGTGTGATGGTGTATAACGTCGCGTTCAAGATTATTACACTTACATAGCGACGTGTATGTACGTGTGCGTGCGTGTGTGTGACTGCTTGTTCCAGTCCGGATTAATGCCTACGTTATAGTGCGAGCACACTGAGATACCATGCCACAGTATAACATGAATACCCCACTCAGACACAGTATACTGACTCCGAGCTGACCAGTCCTTGTTTAAGTCCCTCAATTCCGAGCGCAAGACACGGTGCAACAATATGTACCATCTTTTGACGTTTTTCGATATAACGTGGCTAGGAATGGAACGCCTGACCTTCCGCTCTGCCGGCAGATACTCTATCCACTTTAACACTGGACCATAAGAGGAGGATTGTTAACAGAACACCTTTATGTCACAAAAGAATAGCTGACACAATACCTTGGAAACACAGGAAGTCAGGAGCATAGAATACTTAACACAATACAAGACACCCTCTTAACTGGAGGAGAATAGTTAAACTACCCTTGGCCATCAGAGGAGATAAACAGTTATCACATCGTGACTTCAAAAGTGAACATAAGTTAACACTACAAACTGACTTCATGCGAGAAAAACACCTTGTGGACAGGCTAGGAGAAACTTTAACACTGCAGCAGACCTTCATAAGAGGAGAATAGTGAACACGCCACCTTGACATCACAAGAGGAGAATAGTGAACACGCCACCTTGACATCACAAGAGGAGAATAGTGAACATGCCACCTTGACATCACAAGAGGAGAATAGTGAACACGCCACCTTGACATGACAAGAGGAGAATAGTGAACACGCCACCTTGACATGACAAGAGGAGAATAGTGAACATGCCACCTTGACATCACAAGAGGAGAATAGTGAACATGCCACCTTGACATCACAAGAGGAGAATAGTGAACACGCCACCTTGACATCACAAGAGGAGAATAGTGAACACGCCACCTTGACATCACAAGAGGAGAATAGTGAACACGCCACCTTGACATCACAAGAGGATAATAGTGAACACGCCACCTTGACATCATAAGAGGAGAATAGTGAACACGCCACCTTGACATCACAAGAGGAGAATAGTTAAAACAACACCTTGACGACAGAAAAGCAGAATAGTCAACAAAACACCATGGCGAGAGGAGAGGAGAATAGTTG